ACCTAGTCTTGGGTTGGACAAACCATAAGGAACCTGCCTTCACCCATGGCTCAGCAGCGACTAAGGTGCCAAAGGTGCCCAGAATCTGGGCACCTTAGTCGCCCAGGAACTAGACACCTGTCCATGCTCTGCCATGGGAGAGGGCCGGTTACTGCATGATTAGTCCACCCCGAGACTGGGCGACAAAGGTGCCCAGAAACTGGGCGACATTTGGCACCCTAAAAAGTGGGGTGGGCGACAAAGGCGCCCAGTTACTGGGCACCCTACATTTAGAGTGTAGGCAACACCCCGAGACAGGTGTGAGCTGCGGGCTAGCCTACCCTGGAGTTCGCAGGCGTTCTCGCTTTGGCCCCTGCGAGAAAGCAGAGGCAACACCCCAAGGTGCGCTTTCAGGTACATCTTCGCTCGAAGAGCTTGCAACCTTCCTGACGCGTCCCCCCATGCATCTCGATCGATGGGAGCAAAGGTGAGCATGAGCTCCAATGTCCAAACAACGCTTCACTGAAGATCTGCTCTGTTACGTCTCACACTGCTTGCCTTCGGGTAGCGGCGTGGTTAAGAACGTTGACACGCGCTGTCGCCGCCAACCGCGCCGGCCCGACTGAAGTGATGCCCACTGCCTTCCCGGACTGTAAAAATAAAATCTCTCGGGACTTTTATACTTCAGGAAGTCATCTGACGACGACATGGGATGGGACGTTCCCTCCACAGCGGCGGCGCCGCCAGAACTTTTGAACAAAAGGGTGGGAGGTGTCCAGCTATGCTTTGTGCATGGCGGGCGGAATCTGTCGTAATTTGCCTCTCTGTCTCTCTTTCTCTCTCTCTCTCTCTCACGGTAAAAACGGTAAGTACCAGGTACCAGGTTTTCCCAGGAAGCCTATGCCAGAGACATAGGCGACATCCAGGGAGTTCCTGGAAAAAACAGGAACCGTTTTTACCGTTCTCTCTCTCTCTCTCTCTCTCTCTCTCTCTCTCTCTCTCTCTCTCTCTCTCCTCTCTCTCTCTCTCTCTGACAAAGGTCCATGACCCCTGCACCCCCTTCCGCCCGTAGGCGCGAGAGAGACAGAGAGACGTACGCCGGGCGGAATCAGTCCGCTGCGCGAGTTGATGGCGACGTTGTGTCGACTGGACGGTCAAACTGCGCCAAGGAGCGGCGCCACGCGAAACACTGGCCAGGCCTTCGTGACGGCGCTAACGCTAGGCCTGCCGCCGCGGGAACCTCTCGTCGCTCTGTCTCTCTCGCACTCACGGGGCGCCCCGCGCTGGTGTGCGAGAGAGACAGAGCGACGAATGAGACGGTTGCGCGGCCATTGTACTGGCCGGCCAGGCCATGGGCAGGGCTGCAGGGCACCCCGAGCGCCTGGCCCGGCAGGCCCGGCCTGGCCGTGGCCACTCCACTCTCTGATTCGGTCTGTGGCAGAGTGGAGTGGACGTAGTCAAGACCGGCAGCCCGTCGGCCGGTCCGCCCGTCAGCGGCCGGCAGACAGGCCCCTCTCTCTCTCTCTTTTCTCTCTCTCTCTCTCTCTCTCTCTCTCTCTCTCTCTCTCTCTCTCTCTCTCTCTCCCCCGCCCTTTCATACTCTCCCGTATGGATGTGACAGGGACAAACCGACGTCTCCGCTCGCTCGGAAGCAGCCTGCAGTGGGGGTGCTCGAGGGTGTGCTGGACTGCCACACCGCGGCCTGGGCCATTCCCCGTGAAGTGAACTCAGTCACGATGCGCATTGCTATTCGGCTGGTTCTGCCTCGGAAGGGTGGCGGGGCGCGGCGGGGCGGGGGGCGGCGGGGCGGGGCGGGGCGGGCGGGGCGGGGTGGGGCGGGGCGGGGGGGCCCGTCCTTCGACTTGACTCCAGGAACCCCAAACTCGGGTGGGCTGGCTTCCCTGCCCGCCAGTCAGGCGCGCTGCTGTTCTAGAGTTCTTGCGCGGTCACTGTAAAGGCCGAGCCGCATTAACTAACCCTATAGATGTAGGAAGTGGTACGGTGCACTTAAAATGCATGTGAAGTTGTCCTTAACAAGTGCCACATTTGTGGTTATGTCTTTTATGTACAAATTTGTGCATAAACTAGGAATACAATTTTTATGAATACTCAAGCACCATGCGTCCCTAATTTAGTTTCTGACCTATAACCACTCTGACCTCCCAAGTGCGGGGGCGGCAAATTCTATACCTCCACATTCCAAGTGTGGACTTCTCCACTCTTGGTTTGAGAGTGATGTCTGACTCACGGGGCGGGACGTTCGGGTGCGAGAGAGACAGAGCCACGAAGTGACTGTCCGGGACCGCTGGGCTGGCGGTGCGTGGCGCGCTTGCTTCGCGTCGTCGCGATCCAGCCAATTAGCAGTGTAGCCTTGGGATGCGATGGGACAAATTGCCATCCATAGGACGACGGCGCCACAACAGATTTGGGCATGACTGGGCACGGCGCCTTTTGGAGGGAGACTCTCGAGACTCTCGCAGGCCGAGCTATCAATTTGGGAGGCGCGCGATTACCGCCTGATCCGGCCATTTAGTACTTCGTTCCAAATCGGGAACTTCTTCATTTTTGCGTGACTGCACTCGGAAAACCCATGAGTGCACGCAATGGCACACCAATACGCTGGGTAAATGTCAGAGACCTCATTCGGGCTCACTGCTTCGGGCTGGTCCGGAAGGTGCACAGGCCGAGCTGGCAGACAGGCGCTGCCGCGCAGGCCGAGCTGGCGCCGGGAGCGAGCGTCGGCTGACCGGCAGCGCTAGGTCGCCGGTTCGATGCCACTTAGGGCCCGAGAGCGTCGGTTAAAGTTGGTCATTTCCGTTTTTTGTCATCGCAATGAATAAGATCAGATACTAAATATGCAGATTTGCGAAAGTAACAACCAAAAAAACGTTTCCTAGGCCGTGAAAAACGAATGCCTCTGGCTGGAATCGAACAGCGAACCGGCCTCCTAGGCGCGTCGGGCTGAGCAGCCCGAGCGGGCTGCTCCGGGCTGCGTCGGGCTCTGGGCACCGAGCTCGGGCCGGGCCGGGTCGGGCTGGTCCTCTCGGGCCGGGCCGGGCTCGGGCTGGTCACTCCGTGGCGTCGGGCTGCTTTTCGCTGGAGCAGTGAGCCCGACTGAGGTCTCTGGTAAATGTGAAGTAGAGTACGGCCGAAACGCCTGCGAACTCTAGGGTAGGCTAGCCCGCAGCTCGCACGTGTCTCGGGGTGTGGCCTATCTGCTTTCTCGCAGGGGCCAAAGAACTCAAGGTGGAGCAGCTGTTTTCAATCTTAGTGCAGACCCCATTTACACACTGAAAAACCAAACGTGGTATAGACCGTAACAACTGGTGTGGTCAAATGGATGCCATTTTGACCACACCAGTCAGTTGGTGTGGTCAAAATGGCACCCATCTGACCACACCAGTGGTGCGGTCTGGACCACGTTTGGTTTTTCAGTGCAGTCTCGGCCTGCTGCCTAGGGTTGCATGAGGTCGTGATATCCGTCAGGCCAGGAGCACGTCCTTACTGCAAGAGCATTTCCCCAGCCCAAGAGCATTCCCAAGGCGAAGAGCATTTCCCTCGACCGAGTGCATTTCCCCAAGCCAAGAGGGCCGTCTGCAAGGCCAAAAGGTCAACGTATGGCATCCAAAAACGGAGCATCACTGGAGCGGCAAGCAAACTAGCCAATGGATTTGCAGTGTAGTTGAAGAAATACATTTGTAAGTCATGTGCACTCTGTGTAGAGACGCATGGAGCCGCACAGTGAGCCAGAAGACCGGTGGAGGCGGCCAAAACTCTAGACGCGTTTGGAGCTCCAGAGTCACTTAACAGGACTCGAACAGAGCGCGTGTGACCCCACCAATGGATTGCTCTCCGAACGAGGAATCCATTGGTAGGGTCACAGGCTCCGTTCGAGCCCTCTTTGGAGCTCAAAACGCGTCTAGAATTTTGACCGCCTCCACCGGTCTTCTGGCCCACTGTGAGCCGACCAGACTCCATTCAAACGACGCGCGCCTTGCCGCGCACCCCTCGGCGCTACCCCGCGCTGCGGCAGCACTGGCAGCAGCGACGCGGGGCAGCGCGGCGCCGTCGATACCCCGCGGTGGCGGACTGCCGCGCTGCCGCGGCGCTCGGCGCTACCCCGCGCGTGCGGTGCCGTTGGCCGTCGCGACACGACACCGGCGCGGCGCGCGGTCGACGTGGACCACGTGGTAGGGTTAGGAACGCCCGCGCGGTGTTTTTGCGGGGAACGCACGGCTTCGACTGAGTTCGGCTTTGGCTTTTGGCACGCTGCGTGCCCCTGGCGCTCGCCACACAGCCGGCGGAGCGACGCCGCCCGCGGGTTATCGCTGCCACTGCGCTGCCCGCGAGCACACTGGTAAAACGGAAGCTTATACGCTTCACTCAAGTTCGCTTGAAGACAAGCGTACGGAAGGAGTTGTCTCATGCATTCAGACAGGCGCGAGATAGGTCGAACGGAAAGGTACGCTTGCGGCCAAGCGTCGCAACCACCACGCTCGAAGAAAGGCGTATAAGTACGCTTCGGTTCTGCCAGTGTACGCCACGCGCCCCGCGGCGCCAACGGGCAGCTCCACCACGTGGTGGAGAAACGAGGCGGCGCCGTTACAGCGGCAGCGGACTGCTTCCGAGAGTCGCCTGCGTCGCTCTGTCTCTCTCGCTCTCATGGGTCGTCCCGTACGGGCGCGAGAGAGACAGCGCGACGAAAACGACTCTCGGAATCAGTCTGCTCGCGAGGTGCTGCCGCCTGGCGGCGGACTCCGCAACCGAGGCTTGTCGGCTGCTAGAGGCGCCGCCCGTTCCGCGGCGAGCGCGGGGAGGGGGAGGGGGGAGGGGAGGGGGGGGGGGGGGGGAGCCGTTCGCCCGGCAGTCGGCCACCGAGCGCGCCTCCGAGCGGACGTAGGGTTCGTTGCCCGTCGGCTCCGTGCTTCCACAGTGTGAACCGAAGCGACAGTGTTGAATGGATGTTTCTCCCTGACGGCCTGCCCCGACTCAACTGCAGCCCCGCCGCTTGAACGACGAGGATGGAAGGCCTGTGGTGCTTGTTTCAAATCCTGCTGGTGCTCCCGGCCGCAGTGCGAACCTGGGGTGAGTCTTGCAGTGTCCCCCCCCCCCCCCCCCCCTCCCCCCCCGCCGTCCCCCCAGCGCTCCATGGCACTGGGCGAGCAGGTCACGTAGTCACGTAGGCAGCTGGCTTCCCCTAGTTCTGGGCTCGTTTTGGACCCTTTCGGGGGATTTTGGAGGCGTTTGAAGCGGCCCAGTGTGTCGGCCGACTTCCCGAGTGTCTGTCGCTGGCGCCTCAAGGACGTTCGCGGCGCCGTTCTCGCGCGGCGCGATTCTTTCGCCTTCTGCGTGACCTTTCCTCGCGTCGGCTCGCGAGTGTTTTCGCCTTTCGCGGCGTTTTCTGCATTTTTCGTTGAATGGCACTTCTCGTTCCCGGCTGGCTCGCGTCCGTTTGTCCTGCCAGAGAGCCCCCAGGCAGAGCGTGACTCTGCTCTCGCTGAACCTTGATGAACAGGATCAAGAACTTGGATGACATTGCCCCATTTTCTAAAAAAAAAATTTTTTAGAGTTGCTGGGTGGCATGGGATGCTAGCAAAGCAAGGGAATAAATATATTGCTTTATATGACTAGAAAATATAGTTCATCAAATAAAAATTTTGGCTGCTTGGCTACACGTTATTAGTTTGTCAGTTTTTGTTTTGTTTTATATTTTCAAGTGCGTCTCTTTAGACGCTATCACCATTGTCAGATAGGATAATTATCTCTCTATCACCTGGTGTCAAAGAATCTAATTTTAATCTCTTCCTCCTATTTGTTTTAAAATTGAGCAATGTCATTTGATTGAATTTAACGGTTGTTATTGATTTCAACCGCCACTCATGTTTGTACTGATCTGTCAATGCAGTTTGGCTTCTCGTATTCCTAGTCAGCTGTGAACTGTTCCAACATCTCATTCCCTTCAATTTTAATTATGTTTTAGAGGGAGGAGGGTGAATTTTTTTTTTAACCATTTCCTCCTCTTTTTTTTTTGCACCAATATTTTTAACGTGTACTGCCACAACAATGCCACTGTCTCCATCAACGGCATTCCTTTTCCTAGTGTTGATGCGCGGAACCAATCTTGCTGCTCGGACTGGACTGAGGCGTCCCACTGTCCCACGGCTCGGCCGCAGTGCCGTGGCCCCGTGGCGTCGCACCGTGCACTTGCTTGCACTTGCTTGCACAGCAGGCCAGGCAGTAGAGTCCCCTACGTAGAGTCCCAGGCCCCACCGAAACCGAAAGGCCGCCGCCACACTGTCAGGGCCAGCACCACCAGCACGTGGAGCCGTCGACTTCCCTTCCGCCCGTCAGTGAAAGGACAGGGAACCGTGTGCTTCCGTCGCTCTGTCTCTCTCGCACCCGTACGGGACGTCCCCTGAGTGCGAGAGAGACGGAGGCACCTTCGGGAGCGAGCCTTCTGGCGTCGTCAGCACCTCGTCAGCGCCCCGTCACGTGTCCGTGTCGCCGCCGCACAGTGGGCCAGAAGCCCGGTGGAGGCGGCCAAAACTCTAGACGCGTTTAGAGCTCCAGAGTCGCTAAACAGGACCCGAACCGAACGTGTGACCCCACCAATGGATTCCTCGTTCGTAGAGCGATCCATTGGTGGGGTCACACGTTCGGTTCGAGTCTCATTTAGCGACTCTGGAGCTCAAAACGCGTCTAGAGTTTCGGCCGCTCCACCGGTTTTCTGGCCCACTGTGCGACGGCCTGCCGGGCGGTGCTCCGTCTCCCTCGCACCCTCACGGAGAGCACCGTGAGTGCGACAGAGACAGAGCGACGACACGACTCCTAGTAAATCGCTCGACTGCTTCTGGTGGTCTGCCGAGCGATCCGGAAGATCGGTTTGTCGCTCTGTCTCTCTCGCACCCTTTATTGAGGGTCCCGTGAGTGCGACAGAGACAGAGCGACGGAACGCTCGGCTGCTCGGCGCCGCGCAGGAGGGGCGATCAGCTGACGCTGGGACCGGGATCAGCTGATCAGCTGACCGAGGCACGGTAGGGCACGGACGGGTCGGGTCGGGAGGCGGGGGGGGGGGGGGGCCCCCCTGCCTTTTTGCGCCTCGCCGGCTTACCTAACAGTGCTTACGACGAGGGACGGAGGAGCGCGACCTTTGTAGACCTGGCAAAAGGCTCATTCTCAAGGCATCTTCTCGTCGCTCTGTCTCCCTCGCACCCCAACGAGACGCTCCATGAGGGCGACAGGGGCTAAACGATCCTTTCGTAAGCGCACAGCTTCGCTGCGTAATACACTGGTAAAACTGAAGCGTAGTTGTATGCTTGACCTATCGTCGGCCAGGACCTTTCGTCGGTCAGGACCTCTCGTTGGCCAGGACCTTTCGTCGGCCAGGACCTCTCGTTGGCCAGGACCTTTCGTCGGTCAGGACCTCTCGTCGGCCAGGACCTCTCGTCGGCCAGGACCTCTCTTCGTCCAGGACCTCGTTGGCCAGGACGACGCCGAGGTTGGCGGCGGTCGGGAGGCGGTCCGCCTTGAACTTGGCCTTGCTTGACCTCCGCGGCCTGCTCGGGGTGCTGCAGGCTCGGCTGCAGGCGCGCCGGGCCGGGCGGAAGGACTTCCGCGGCGTGGCGGCGGCCTCCCTGCGGCGGGGTTCCGCGCGATGCGACCGTGTCCGTCTCTCTCGCACCCGTACGGGACGCTCCATGAGTGCTGGAGAGAGAGAGAGAGCGAGAGAGAGGGACAGACAGACAGACGCGCCTCGCGGAATCAGTCTAATCAGTCCGCTGGTCCACCACGCCGTGCTTTCTTATCTCGCTGCACCCGGCGCCGCGAAGCCAAGGCGCAGCCCACCGTGCCGTCATCCTCGCTGCGTCGGTTGCGTTGGTCAAGTGCGCGCCAGATCCTGATTCCACTTATCGCCGCCGTCGCGCCGTCTCTCTCGCACTCATGGGGCGTCCCGCGGGAGTGCGAGAGAGAGCGACGAAACTCCGCGCGGAATTGACGGCGTGCCGGCACACTCAGTGCAGGGGCGTGCACAGCTCGCCTCCTCGGGAGGGGCGGTGGGACCTTTTTTTGAGGGACTTTGCCTAACTTCCAGGGGTTGGACGCCAAAACCTGCCTCAACTACACCTTTTGGGGTCCTTCGGGGGGGGGGCGATCGCCCCCTCCGCCCCCCCCCCCTTCCTTGTGCACGCCCGTGACTCAGTGGGCCAAGGCGCCAAGGCGAACGCACCTCTGCCTGGGTAGTCCTCGAAATGGGTGCATGATGTTACCAATTACCAATGCAGCAGTCTACTTCGACCTGACAGGACAGTGTGCCCACAGCGTGTCCGGTGTCACGTTCGCGCACACTTGTTCCGGTCCGCCGCGCTTACAGTGGGCCTCTCGCCTCCGGCTCGCGTGCCGTTCGCGTGTCCATATGTCAGCTGCGTCAGCAGCTCCAGTCCGCTGCCCGCACGCCTCGCTCCGTCTCTCTCGCACCCTCACGGCACACGCCATGCGCGCCATGCGTGCGAGAGAGACGGAGCGAGGCGTGGCGGGCAGCGGCATCGCTGCACTGCCATTCAAACGGCGCACAGTGGGCCAGAAGACACCGGTGGAGGCGGCCAAAACTCTGGACGCGTTTTGAGCTTAGAGTCGCTAAACGGGACTCGCATCGGGCGTGTGACCCCACCAATGGATTGCTCTCCGAACGAGGAATCCGTTGATGGGGTTTGGGGCCCCTTTGGCCCCGGGCCAAAACCCCGGGGGGGGGCCAAAAAAAGGGGGCCCCCCGCCCGCCCCAAAGGGGGGGGATTTTTGGGGGGGGGGGTTTTTTTCCCGGGTTGGCCCCCCCCCCCCCCCCTTTTTTAAAAACCCCCTTTTGGGGTTTTTTTTCCCGGGGGGGGGTTTTTTTTTTTTTCCCCCCCGGGGGTTTTTTTTGGGGGGTTTTTTTTTGGGGGGGGGGGGTTTGGGGTTTCCCCCCCCGGAAAAAAACCCCCCCTTTTTTTTTGGGGAAAAAAAATTTTTTTAAAAAGGGTTTCCCCCCCCCCCGGGGGGGGTTGGGGGGTTTGGCCCCGGGGGTTGGGGGGGGGCCCTTTTTGGGGGTGTTTTGGGGGGGGGGGCCCCCCCCCCCCGGGGGGGAAAAACGGGAAAAATTTTTTTTTTTTCGGGGGGGGGAATTGGGGCCCCCAAAAAATTTTCCCCCCGGGGGGGGCGGGGAAAAAGGGGGGGGGGGGGGGATGGCCCCCGGGGCCCCGGGGGCCCCCGGGGCCCCCGGGGGGGGGGGGGAAATTTTAAAATTGGGAAAAACCCCCGGGGGGGGGGGAAAAAAACCCCCC